GGAGGTGTCAGCCACAATTAAAAATAGTGAAGAACATTTGGAAAAAAATATAATTATAAAATACTTTATTTTGTGAAAATAAATCTGTTTTCTCAGAGGAAAAAAATCTTATTTTGGAAAAAAAGTTCTTTCTTTTATAAAGTGAAGGTTTTGATGTTTCTGCTGTAAAACACTTGTAGGATTAGAAGGTGAAGGAGTGATGTTCAATATATGGTGGGGGAGCAACATTTTGGTAGGGCCTATGATAGCTCAGTCATTTACACCAAGGGAGTAGGATGAATATTTCAGAAGTGATATTCCCCTTTGTGTTTAATTTTGCATTGTTTTTTTTTTCCCCTGAAAAAATTCTCTTTCCTTCTAAGTCATGTCATTCCTGGTTGTCATCCCGTCTCTCAGACCATCAAAACTATATTAAATGTTGCAAAGTTGTGTGGCAAGAGAACTTTCAAAAGTCAGAACCCATTTGCAGAGCAGCCCTTGTAGAAAATGTATTCTGTTCTCGGCAGAATTTTCCTTCAGTTCTTTCCACTGAGAAGTTTACTGATTTCTCCCAGTGGAATCTGCTGGAATTTATCGGTTCATGGTTGGCAGTCACAGATTAAGGTAAATGTCGATCCGTAATGACCTTCTACATGTTAGTATTGCAGTAAAGCTGGGCTTTTATGTCAAAGATATCGGAGAGGGAGCTATTACACATGACAGGGGTGATCAAGGGACTCCAGACCAAGGCAAGCATTATTAAATATTGACTAGTTCTGTGATTTATGTAGAGCTGGAGGAAAAAAGTGACTTTTTAACCATTATATATTCTTCAGCAACGAAAACCAGCCATTTATCTCCTGCTGGTAATAAAGCACACAGTGCCTGCATATTTTAGTGGAGGGGGGGAACCCAGGCTTATAAATGAGATGGACTCTTTCATGATAACATTTTGGTTGGTTAATTGCCAAAAGCAAAACAAGTGCATTGGAAGCAGAGACAAATTTTGACTTCAGGAGGCTCCCCTGTTGCTTCAGGTCTGTGAGGAAAACAGGAGGGGGGGGGGGCTATCTGGGGAATGGACTCCAAGAAAATTCTGTTTATTTTTTCTCCCATGGTAGAATCTTTGCTTGGCAATGCTAAATAAAGGTCCTTTCAATACTGTTTCCCTTACAAGTTCTAAATAGCTATTGTGACTGACATTTATGCAGGATGTTGGGGGATGGGGAGTTAATTTCTATGCAAGAAAGAAATTAGACATTAATTCAGCAAACTTACTTATGACACCATCTCCTCTGTAGATTTACACAGAGCTTACTGAATTGTCTGATGGTTAATTGGACACTTCCTTGACATAATGAACAACTGTATTTCATCCATAGCTGCACTGTCTGCTAAAAAGACAGCATTAAAATGCTTAAGTTAAGTTGCACTGGAACTTGCTTTATGTAAAAATACATTGAGATCAAAAATATGGCTTTTCCCATTCAGGTTACCTGCCCCCTAGTGGGAATTCAAAGCTGCTAATATAGAAAACTAAAGGATGAAGCAAGCTTCAGACATTAGATCTAAAAATTAAGAGTGAACAAATTACAGACAATTATATAACACAGTGACAGGCTTTTTTGTTGTTTGTGTTCAAGACTCTTAATTTGGAAAGCTTCAGATGTTTTGATCTGGCATTCAGAAAAAATGTGTTTCCTTTCTTAAGAGGTTGAATGAGTGATGCAGTCACTTAAAAGCCAAAGTCCAGCTCCAGGACTAGGTACAGTAAAGGGAAAAGAGAATATGAAATATTCTTTGCAGTCACCAAGCAACTGTATTTTCACAATTTCTTCTTGTTCCATGACATCATGTCATTTTAACTTGACTTTTGAAGATGGAAAATAATAAACAAAAGAAAAAAACAAACAAACCAGGAGGGACAATCAGTAGTTCTTAATTATACTTCTTGTTTGGGCTATGAATATATCCACCGGAAAAATAAGTTGTGGATCTGAAAAAGTACAAATATTTCAACATGCAATGTTTGAATTAATCAAAAGTCTATGAATTTCATCCTTGAAAGGAAATTATAAAGGTGGCTGAATTTTTCTAATTCACCTATACATTTAGATAGTTTCAAATGCTTGATAATTTTCCAGTATTTGGGGGTTTTTAATGTTTGATCATTGTACAATCTTCTTCAAGGTTATGAAAAAACAGTGTCATTTTTAGGGGGATAAATGCTTACTTTACTTAATTTTTGAGGTGATTAGATATATATATATATATATTTGCCTTTTAAAACTTCCTTTGTACGTGCATATATACAGACAGAAAACATTGTGCAAAGTGCAGAAGGAAGTAAGAAATATTAAGGCATGAGATACGTAAAAGAAACACTTCTTTTGTGTGTGAGCCTTCAAGACAATCTTGAATCCTGGTGTTGTTTCTTGGTCCTGGTGTTGTTTCTTGGCAACATTTTCAGAAGTAGCTTGCCGTTTCCTCCTTCCTAGGGTTGAAATTAACTGGCCCAAGGTCCCAGCTGGCCTTATGCCTAAGGCTGGAGTAGAATTTATGGCATCTCCATTTCTAGTCCAGAGTGTCTTTAACCACAATACCAAACTGGCTGTCAAAGGAGCCACAGCTAAAATTAATTTACAACAACACTATTCACTATACTTTTCCACGTGTCTCTGTGTTTACAATCCACCCTTGCTTCTACTGTGCCCATATGCCACATCAACTATTGTCTCTTGTTTGTTAAACTGCTCACCTCTTGCTTTTTAAGGACCTTATCACCTACATTTAACCACAACTTTCTTGGTTTTCCCCTTCTCATGACATCCACTCTTCAATACCACTTTCTGTGAAAAAAATCCCTGGTAATGGGTCCTGTCCATAACCAAATTTTGCATGTGTTTGCATGTGCATACAATTGGAGGACCACAAGGAACATGTTATAACAGTTCCTTGTCATACATCAATTATCCCACTATTTGTGAATTTGCAAGTGGAAACCATGTTCAGATTTCTATTGGAAAACCATATAGTATAGTGCTTCATGTATTAAGACCAAATTCTCTCCTTCATCTAAATATATGTCAGATGACAATTTCCTCCAGAAAGATTGTATCCATTTCCTCTAAAATTAAAAAGTAACTTTCTGTCATTTGCACATATGTATAAATATATATGAATAATAAAATAGCAAAAGCAAACAAAGAGCCCAGATTTTTTTAAAAAACACATATTTTCCTTGAATCTTAGTTATGGCTACCTATTCAAAGCAACATCAGACAAATAAAACTAAACAATCATTATCAATGTTACATGTTGGAAAGAACTGTTAATTTTGATGGAGTGATGGAATCTTGTTTCATGTAATTCCATAGTATGTTCATACTCTGAACACGACAAACAATGATTTTTGTAACAGTGAAGGGCAAGCATAAGTTAATAGTGGTACCATTGAAGGAAGATTTGAAATATATGAATATATTTTTGCATACATTCATCTTATTAGTCTATTGTAGCTATGATTGCAGAGTACAATCTTTGCAA